TTTTTTAGTTTTCGGCGGACACAACAACTTTGTTTGTATGTGGTGCTTAGGATTGAACCCGGGCCACACACATGCCAGGCCAGCGCGCTACCGCTTGAGCCACATCCCCAGCCCACTGGGACTGGTTTCAAACTGTGATCTTCCTGCCTCAGCCTCCTGAACTGCTGGGATTATAGTGTGTACCACACACACCCAGCCCTTGGACATCTCTTCGGGAGGCCAATCTCATCAAATAATTTTGAAGCTAAAATAAAAGTGTAGTCTAACTCTTTATTTTTAATTTATTTTTTTAGTTGAAGATGGACATAATACCTTTATTTTATTAATTATTTTTAATGTGGTGTTATGGATTGAACCCAGTGCCTCACATGTACAAGGCAAGTACTCCACCACTGAGCTACAACCCTAGGCCCTCTCTCTCTCTTTTTTTTAAATAAATAGAGAAAATGAAAATTAAAAAGGTTACGAGATTTGCTCCAGGACACATGCCTATTTTCTAGTGGAACTGGTATAAGAATCCATTTTCTGCTTATTTGACCAGTACTCCTTCCATTAAATACCACAAATAGGAAACGTCAAGGTTTGCTGCCCTGTGATTCCTTTCTACTTTCTCCAACAAAACATCTCACAGGCCTTTAAATGCCTAATTGTTCCCTAAAATAATTCCATCCTCTGGTATGAACTGAATGGTTTTGAGAGCATATATGGTTAGACTGGAAGAGTCCAGATTTTCCCACTCTCCCTTCTTTGGGTTGGGAATAGAGAAACTAGTCAGGTCTCAGCACCAAACCACCCTTACCATGCAGAAGGGCTGCAGTTTGCCTGTCTAAGATCTCTGGTGCCCCCTGCAGGATTCTCTCAGCCACCAGGGTAGCACAGGACCCCACAAGCTCAACAGAGACATGGCAAAGAGGGCAGTGTTTCTGCTCGATGGGTCGATGGTCAAGCACCTCTACTATGGCCTCTTCTAGAGCTGCATCACTTCTGTAGAAGGAGGAGGGTATGGGAAAAGAGAAAGAAAGATAGGTTATCTATCTTCAAAACCCTCACACCAAAGGAAAGTGCAGATATCTTAGGCTAACAAGTAGACCTGTAGTCACTCCTATTCTGCCTCATTTCTCTCCATTCTTTTCTTTAATGTCATATCTGAAGGGGTATTTAAATAGCATGTAAGTGAATTCTGTGAAGTATCTGCTGCAAATAGCTCGCCCACATATTTGTTGTACATTTTTTCTTTTTTGGGGGGAGGGTATAATGGAGATTAAACCTAAGGGCTTAACCACTGAGCTGTACCCCCAGTCTTTTTTATTTTTTTATTTTGAGACAGGGTCTTGCTAAGTTGCTGAGGCTGGCCTCAAACCTGTAATTCTCCTCTCTCAAGCTCCTAAATTGCTGGGATTACAGGCATGTGCCACCATGCCTGGATCCAGTTGACATTTGATACTCAACATTAAAATCTTGCCTGTTTCTCAATTCCCTCAATACTCAAATTCCACACAGGTGACCAGGTCCTAGGGCTTCTCTTCATGCCTTCCTTTCCAGCCCTCTGATATTGTCTTGTTCTAGGCCCTCCATAGCTTTCATCTGGACTACTTCAACAGTCTCTTAACCAAACACCTGGCTCCAGCTAAAGGCCCTCCTAAGCTATTCTTCACAAAGCTGCCTGAATTTAAAGTAAAAAAGCAAATTTGATTGCCAGGACCTAGAGTAAATATATAACTATATATATAGTTTCCCACTGCCTAAATCAGTCTAATTCCCCCTGCCTACCTCTTTAGTCTTATCTTTTTCCACATTCTCTTTTTCCCTCCTATTTTATGCTCTGGCTGTGCAAAACAAATTTCATTTTCCCTAACTCACCATGCTACTTCGTACCTGCCTGGCTTTGCTTCTATTAATTACTTCTTCTGCCTGGAACACTTCCTAACGCCTTCCCTCCTTATTCAGGGGGCAAACACCTGAGATCAGGGGTCAATTCTGCTACAAAACCTTTCCTGATGCCCTCAATTCCCTTCTAGTATAATGAATAATTCCATCCTTCATGTACCTACTGTCCCTAGAATGAAAATAGCTTGTTTCCAACACCCATTATAATGATCTATTTACCCAATTTCCTTTTCCTGACTGTAAGCTTCATGAGAAGGGAACCCTGTCTTACTTTCATTCTCTAACTAAGAGTTTATTAATGCATGAATGCATAGCTCATCCATGCTATCAGGCTTTGTCATTTTCTGCTACAACTACAGGATGCTCAAGGAAAAAAATCATACATTTTAAAGGCCAGAGAACGTGATTCAGTGGTGGAGCACTTGCCTAGTACATGTGAGACCCTGGGTTCCATCCCCAACACCACAAAAAACCCAAAATACATTTTTCCCCCCCCCAGGTACCAGGGATTGAACTCAGAAGCACTCAACCACTGAGCCACATCCCCAGCCCCATTTTTGTATTTAGAGACAGAGTCTCACTGAGTTGCTTAGCGCTTCACCATTGCTGAGGATGGCTTTGAACTCGTGAGCCTTCTGCCTCAGGCTCCCGAGCTGCTGGAATTACAAGAGTGTGCCACTGTGCCCAGCCCAAAATACATTTTAAGATTAGCAGGAGTCAGACAGACTTAGACAAATCTCATACCCATGTTATGTTTTTGGCAATTTTTTTCCAATCTTAAATTAGGGGTTGGAATTATTATAGAAGTACACATTTTTCAAATACACTCAAATGAGACATTTATAGACTTTACCATGTTATTCTGAAGTTACCATGAATTTATGTAGGAATTACGGTCACTTACTAACCTTTTAAAAATTAAAAACATAGTTCCATCAATTTTTTAAAGGCCTATATTATAATAAATCTGCCACAAAATCGTGCAATGATGATACCAAAGGCAGATTTAAATGACCTTTGAGTTATTCTTTAGTTTGAGCTCAAAATGTTCCTATTTCTCTGCTTTCTTTTTTTAAAATTTTTTTTTTTTCTGGTAGTTGTAGATGAATAGCATAGCATGCCTTTATTTTATTTATTTATTTTTTTAAGAGAGATAGAATTTAATATTTATTTTTTAGTTTTCAGTGGACACAACATCTTTATTTTATTTTTATGTGGTGCTGAGGATCAAACCCAGCACCCCACGCATGCTAGGCGAGCACGCTACCACTTGAACCACATCCCCAGCCCCATATTTTATTTGTTTATTTTTATGCAGTGCTAAGGATCCAACTCACTGCCTTACCTGTGCCAGGCAAATACTCTGCCACTGAGTTATAGCCCCAGCTCTGTTATATGTCTTTATGCTATAAACAAACATATAACTGGAGAACTGACATTATTTCCTGTTGAATTTCTGTATCAAATATGACCAATCAGGGTTGGGGATGTGGCTCAAGTGGTAGCGCACTCACCTGGCATGCATGCAGCCCGGGTTCAATCCTCAGCACCACATACAAAGATGTTGTGTACGCCAAAAACTAAAAAATAAATATTAAAAAAAAAAAAAATTCTCTCTCTCTCTCTTTAAAAAAAAATATGACCAATCAGTTATAATTAATCTTTAAGATCACTAAAAGCAAAGACTCTTCCTTTATTTATATCTCATTCATCAGAGTCCAATGTGGTACATAAGTATGAATTTAATTTCCACCTACTTACTTGGGTAAGACATGATGGTCAACAAGGATGAGGGTAAGTTGGCCAGCCTGGTGCAATGCATGGAGATCAATCTCGTCCCGAAAAATCAAGATAGTTTCGGGAATTTGAATCTTCTGAAGGAAGAAGACATTGTCACCTCGTAGAGGTAGCTCAGAACGTTTTATATTTAAAACTGGTATAAAGACTTCCTCAGCTTCATTCGTCTGAATAGAAAAGTGAAAAGAAGGTATCACAAGTTTTGGGATAGGAAAAAGTACCAAGATTGGGCTGAGGTTGTAGTGCAGTAGTATAGCATGTACTTAGCATGCATGAGGTTCAATCCCCAACACCAAAGGGAACAAAAGTAACAAGACAATTGGAACCAAAGGAGACATGATTTTGAATAAGCTACTACCTTTCTCAAAGTCACAATTACCTACTACTCCATAAAAATAAAAGGATGCTTTTTTAGTTTTTAGGTGGTAAGGATTGAATTAAGGCCCTGCACATGTTAGCATGTGCTCTACCACTAGTTTGTACCACCATTCCCAAAAGGATGGCTCTTGCCCTCCCTCCTTCTTGGTTATAACATGAAAGCCAATAAGGCAACTCATAGTAAAGAGCTAGTTCTAGATGCAATGCCACAGAGAAAAAAATAAATTTTTTTTTCCTGGGCTGGGTGCGGTGGTGCACACCTATAATCCCAGTGGCTCGAGAGGCTGAGACAAGAGAATTGCGAGTTCAAAGCCAGCCTCAGCTAAAGCAAGGAGCTAAGCAACTCATTGAGACCCTGTCTCTAAATAAAATACAAAATAGGGCTGGGGATGTGACTCAGTGGTTGAGTGCCCCTGAGTTCAATTCCCAGTACCCACCCCGGAAAAAAAAAAAAAAAAGGTTAGCTGGGCAAGAAGAATACACACTGGATGACTGACACCCCTAAGGAACTCAATAATAATTTGAATATTGCTTTATGGTTTACATATCCCTCAAAACTTATTTACCAGCCAGGCACACTGGCAAATGCCTGTAATCAGGAAGCTGACAGGAGGATCACGAGTTCAAAGCCAACCTCAGCAACTTAGCGAGGCCCTAAGCAACTTAGCAAGACCCTATCTCTAAATAAAATATGAAAAGGACTGGGGTTGCTCAGTGGTTAAAAAGTGCCCCTAGGTTCAATCCCCAGTTAAAAAAAAAAATTTATTTACCCATTTTCTTCCCCTCACAATAACACTGAAAAGTATGGTGACATGAGACTCAGCAAAGTTAAGGGATTTAACTTACCCAAGACTAAATGCTGGTAAATAGCAGAGCTGGTCTTGAATTTAAATTTTTTCATTCTAAGGGGCTCTGTTCCTAGGTACTCACCTTTGTCAGATAAAAAGCTAGAGCAAGAGCAGACACCATGGAGTCCAAGTCACAGGCTTCATTTCCCAGTACAACATGTAGATGTCTGGACTCCTGGAGAGGAAAGAGAGGTGGAAACTGACAAAAGCATCTCCATCTTTCTCCATTTACCTATACAAGTCCATTTACTGATCTTCACAGAGGAGGGTGAGACACAGAATCTCCTGGGTCCTCACTTTATGGATGAAGAGATGAGCAGAGGGTCTGTTTACCTAAGCTTTAAGCATTCCACACACATCCAGTGGGTGCAAAAGAGCGCCTCCCCTCACTAGTAAACTGTTTTCTTGAATGTTAACTTACAGAAGAACAGTGAATAATTCTGATTTCTTATGCTTCAAAAGTATAACACTAGGGTAGATAATATAGAGAGAGTTTGCCACTCTCTGCCTCCATTTTTAAAATAGAGAAAATGACCCTTATACTTCTAAATCAAGAGAATAGGTGAAGAGGCTTTGAAAATAAAGGTAAAAATAAGATCAAGTCCATTATCCAGTTGTCCAGATAAACTATGCCTGCCCTGAGAAGTCCCAATGATAACTATATATAACTGACATCTCTCACAACCCAAAAAGCAGATTCAGATTAGAGCAAGAACAGCTGCTACTGCTGGAACTTTTATTTTTAAAGCATTGAAAAGTCCAGCTGCTGATAAGAACTCCTAGGAGCAAAGGATAGCTACTATTATTAAACTTGTTCTTCTCCATCTGTTTAGTAATCAGTTTTAAATACAACACACTTAGACTACAGTGCCTATAATAGCAAAGACAGGATTCTTTTTTTTGGCTTTGCTTTTATTAAATGTTTATTGAGTGTGTCAAGCATTATTCTAACATATTTACATGCATTAACTAACCATTTAGTTCTCAAAACAACCCAATGAGGCACATACTTAAAGAGTTATTATTTTAGCCAGGCATGGTGGTATAAGCCTGTAATGTGTTATTTGGAGGGCTCAGGCAGGAGGATTATAAGTTTGAGGCCAGAATGAGCAACTTAGAGAGATGCTTTCTCAAAATAAAAAAAAATAAATAAATGAAGAGATGGAAATGTAGCTCAGCAGTACAGTTCTTGCCTAGTATACACCAGACCCTGGTTCAATCTCAGTACCACAAACACAAAAAATATTATTGTTTTATTCTAAGAATGACCATTATGTTGGGTAAAATAAAAACATAAAGCTTATGACTTAGTTTAGGGCACAATAATTCTCTTACCAGTTTATTTTTGAACTTCTATCTCACTCTGCTTCTGAGAGGATGAGATGAGAGAGACAAAATAAGACATACTAGTTATAGCAGGATTTCTTAATTTTGGTATTACTGTTATTTCGGACTGGCCTACCTCAAGATTATGGAAGCCTCTCATCACTAATCATTATTTTGATTTGATATAAATCAAAACCAGTAAGATTTACCTCTTCCCAGATAGAAGGGATATTATCAAAAAGGCAAATAATTAACATGCTGGTCAGGATGCTGGTGGGGAATGTAAATCAGTACAGTCATCATCGAAAACCATATGGAGGTTCCTCAAAAACTCAGAGATTGAACTACCAATGATCCAGTAATCCCACAACTCAAATCAGTATATCAGAGACATCTGTTAATTGCATGTTTATTGCAACACTATTCACAATAGTAGCCGAGATATGAAATCGACCTAAGTATACATTCACAGATGAATGGATTAAAAAAAAGTACTGTGAAAAAAAAATAAAGAAAAGAGAGAGGGAATGAAATGTGGGGCTAGGGATGTAGCTAAGTAGTAGGAGGGAAGGAAAAGAGAGCAAAAAAAGGAAGAGGAAGGAAGGTTGGGTAAGTGGGGCTGGGGATGTGGCTCCCTAATACAGTGCTTGCCTAGCATGCATGAGGCCCTGGGTTTGGTCCCCAGCACCACAAAAAAAAAATAAAAAATAAAAATAAATAAAAATAAAAAGTGGTAAAAAAGAATGAAATTGTCCATTTGCAGCAACATGGATGGAACTGGAAGACATTATATTACATGAACTATGTCAAGCACAGCAAGACAAATACCACATATTCTCACCTATATATGGAAGCAAAAAAGTTGACCTCAAAGAAAGAGAGTAGATCTCAGATCCTGAGATGGGGAGAGAGGATGGTTAACAGGTAAAGGGATACAGTCAGATACACAGGAGGAGTAACCTCTAAAGTTCTATAGCACAGTAGGATAACTATTTTGATAAAAATTATTTAAATATTTCAAAATAGCCAGTAGTGAGCATTTTGAATATTTCCAACATAAAGAAATGACGGCATATAAAAGGACCTAGGTTTGATCCCCAGCACCACAAAAAAGAAAAAAAAGAAAAAAGATAGAGGGTAGCACGTAGCACAGTTGTAGAGTGTTCGCACAGTTATGTGCAAGACTGTAGGTTCAATCCCTAGCAGCAAAAAAAGAGATGATAAATATCCGAGAGAGAAATAATGAATTATATACATGTATTAGAATATCATATACTCTACCCAAAAAATATGTACAATTATTTTGTCTCAAAAAAAAAAAAAAAAAAGCGTGGTGGTGCATGCCTGTAAACCCAGCAACCTGGGAGGCTGAGGTGGGAGGATTGTGAGTCCAAAGCTAGCCTCAGTAACTTAGTGAAGTCCTAAGAAACTCAAAGACCCTGTCTCTAAATAAAATATTTAAAAAGGGCTGGGGATGGGATGTGGTTCAATGGTTAAGTATCCCTGGGTTCAATTCCCAGTACACACAAAAAAAAACTGTGGCATGATAGTGCATGTTGGTAATCCCCAGCAGCAACTTAGGAAGCTTAGGTATGAGGATCACTAGTTCAAGGCCAACTTCAGCAACTTAGCAAGGTCCTAAGCAACTCAGGAGACCCTGTCTCAAAAAAAGGGTGGAGGGCTGGGGATGTGGCTCAAGTGGTAGCATGCTTGCCTAGCATGCGTGAAGCACGGGGTTCAATTCTCAGCACCACATAAAAATAAAATAAAGATATTGGTGTCCACCTAAAACTAAAAAATAAATATAAAAAAAAGGGTGGAGATAAATCCCCAGTATCAAAATACATACACGTGTGTGTGTGTGTGTGTGTGTGTGTGTGTGTGTGTGTGTGTGTATTGCCAAGGCCCATTCGTATTGATAACACTATGAAGGAGTGAGTCTTTTAACATTAAATCCTTCGCCAAAGCAATAAAAGAATTCTGTACCCAAGACCCCAGTCCTATGACTCCTTTGACTTACAATTCCTACTCCTTATACTAGAGTAGGTTCCTTTGTTTCCTACAAACCATGAACTTCCCAGATGACTCTAGACCAAAGTGACAGCAAAACACTTGGGATAAGTGACTGCAGAGATAATTTGCTCACTGAAGCAGTAAAAGGGCTCCTATGTTTTCTGGAAAGGGAACTACATAAACTACATAAAACATTGCTGGGTACAAGGTGGTTCTCAGAGAACCTTTCCAAACTCTTTTACAATAGTGCAGCTTCACTGTAAGTGGAAACTGAATCAGGATCAGTCAGATCCCTGGCAAGAAATCAAGACAAAGAAAAGCAGAAAGCAGGAACCAAATACAACTTCACAGTTCTGAAGTGGAGAAATGATCTCCAGAGCAAGGTGAACAAGTAACACTTTGAGCTCAGTCCAGCCCAGACAGCAACCAAAAGAAATGAATACAAATGGATACTCAGGAACTTGTGGCACATCTTGGAACTGGAATGACCAAGGGAGGTGGTAGAATTCTTTTCCCCATCATCACCCACCATTACTCAAGTCCACCCCCAAACCATGATGTGCACATTCCCCACTCTGCCCTTTCTTTGCACTATTTGTTCTCTAAAAGCAGAACTGCCACTTGAAAAGATCACAAACTCTGGTTGAATCCCAGCTGTTTCTACTGTTTCTAGTGGGACTCTGGCTTCTCTAGGCCTCATTTTCTTATGTAAAAGTGAGGATAACGTGGTTATAACTTCATGGTTCATGAAGTGCCTACTCTGTAATTACTAAAGACATACTCGGTTCCATTTCTTCTTTCTTTACTACTCCCTGTCCATGCCAGTTCTACTTACATGCCCCCTTTCTCTGGGAAGCCTTCCTTACCATTCAGACCAAAGCAATCCTCTCTCTCAAACACTCCAGTTTCCAGCACTGTGGTTCTTAGATGGAACGTAACTTCTATGGTAAAGGGCTTACTGTCCACTTCTCCTGTCCCTATACTGAGGACTTAACACAGCAGGGCTCAATCACAGAACCACATCCCAGCTCTTTTTATTTCTTGAGACTGAGTCTCTATAAATTGACCAGGTTGACTTTGAACTTGTAATTCTCCAGCCTCAGCCACCGGAGTTGCTGGGATAACAAATGTCCAAAATCCTATCTGGTTCACTTTTGGGTGGCTGTGTATCCCCCCTAATCCTTAACATAGTTTAAGAGCTAGGAGACTATATACTTTGTTATTCACATCAGGGACAATTTTAAGAACAAAAAGGAGTGCCAGGAACGGTGGTACATGCCTATAATCCTGACTTGGAAGGCTGAGGCAGGAGTATTGCAAGTTCCAGGCCAGCCTCAGCAATTTAGAACGACCCTCAGCAATTCTGACTCTGTCTCAAAATAAAAAATTAAAAGGGGGAGCTGGGATTGTGGCTCAGTGGTAGAACACTCACCTAGCACATGCGAGGACCTGAGTTCAATCCTCAGCACCACATAAAGATAAATAAAATAAAGGTACTGTCTTCAACTACAACTAAGAAACAAATATTTAAAAATTAAAAGGACTGGGATTACATAGCTCAATAGTAAAGTGCCCTGGGTTCAATCCCTAGTATCTTAAAAAAGAAAGAAAAAAAAGAAAGCAGGTACTCTCAATGAGTTTTCTCTTAGCTTGGAAAAATTAAGACTATCTGGCCAAAATAGGTAGATGGCAGTACAACTTATAGTGATCCATTCTATTCTTCTTTTTTCTTTTGTGTACCGGGGGATTAAACTCAGGGGCACTCAACCACTGAGCCACACCTCCAGCCCTTTTTTCTATTTTATTTAGATACAGGTATGGTAGGCCGCCACCTCATGTGACCAGCAGACAGGGACTTGCTGAGTTACTTAGGACCTCACTAAATTGCTGAAGGCTGGCTTTGAACTCTCAATCCTCCTGCCTCAGCCTCCAGAGACACAGGGATTATAGGCATGCACCACAACACCGGGCTCTCCTCTTCATTTAGGAAAAATCTATGAAACTTCAGGCCCATCCTCCATCAGCTCAAAGCACAGGCCAAACAGCCTTAGTTTTCTGACCATCACATGGAGAATTCAAGAAAACTATAGTTACATTTAACAGTATGAAAAAAACTCAAGCTACAAATGGAAGAAATACAATCTGAGAACACAGTATAAACTTTTTTTTCCCTTAAAAATAAAATAAAAAAGACTCATTAAGTTTAAATGACTCATCCTGTTTTGTTTTGTTTTGTGTGTGGCCTCAAAGGGAGTAGAAAGGGGATTTAGGGCTGGCAAAGTAAACCACTTCTCTTCTGAAGCTGAATATGATCTGATAAGTACTCTAAAAAAGTTAATGAGGGATGAGGGAGGAAAACACACAAACAAAAAAACAAAACAGAACCAGAGACAAACCCTCCCAGCAGAGCAAAATGGGACTGATACTGATATCAGGATTACAAATTTCTTCCTTTTTTTTTTCTGGTGCTGGAAATTGAACCCAGGGCCTTGTGCATTCGAGGCAAGCACTCTACCAACTGAGCTATATCCCCAGCCCCAGGACTACAAATTTATTTTCTTCTTTTGTTTAAGAGCTTTTTTAAAAAATATTTTGTTGTAGTTGGACACAATACCTTTACTTCATTTATTCATTTTTATGTGATGCTGAGTATGGAACCCAGCGCCCCACATCTGCTAGGTGGGCGCTCTACCACTGAGCCACAACCTCAGCCCCAGAAAGAGCTTTTTTTTTTTCTATAACTTTATTTTTTTTAAATATTTATTTTTTAGTTGTAGTTGGACACAATACTTTTATTTTGTTTATTATATGTGGTGCTGAGGATCGAACCCAGGGCCTCGCACATGCTAGGCAAGCACTCTACCACTGAGCCACAACCGCAGCCAGGACTACAAATTTCTAAAGACAGCCAGCCAGCCACTCCTGATTCCTGCCTCATACAATTCCTTATCAAAAACTTCTGGAGCTTTTGTTCCTAGATTAATCACCCGAATGTGACTGCAGTCCCACCCTGAAGAAAGATTTCTCTCTCCTAGAAGTGAAAGATGTCATCTGAATAGGACATTTAGTTAAACAGGATTTCTCAGTACATCCTATTGTCTCTGTGGTAGAACCTATAGAAAATTTTTGTTATCAAGCTAAAAACACGGTATCAGTGCAGTGGTGCATACATGTAATCCCAGCGGCTCGGAGGCTGAGGCAGGAGGATCGAAGTTCAAAGCCAGCCTCAGCAACGGCGAGGCACTAAGCAACTCAGTGAGACCCTGTCTCTAAATAGAGCTCGGGTGTGGCTCAGTGGTCGAATGCCCCCGAGTTCAGTCCCTGGTTACCCCTCAACCAAAAAAAAAAAAGATATCTTCCAGGGAGACGCGCTCAGCCTCGTGTGTGTTTCTCCAGGGGCAGTTCGACTCAAAAGCGGCCCGGTGACCGCCAGTCGTTTCCGTCCGGCTAGCTTTTTGCCGCTGCTGGGGACAAGAGCCCGATGCGGCATGGCAGTCAACAGGGCTGGGAGGGCCCACCTGCCGGGGGCACCCAGCGGGAGTCCCGCAGTCGTGCTGGGGCCCACGCCTTCAAGCTTCCCGAGACTCGCGCACGTTAAGCCAGACGCCGCGGCAGAGGGCGGCCGAGCCGACGCGCCGGGTCCACGTCGGGCTTACACCGGGGGAAGCCCACACCCGACGCCGCCGGCACCGGCGTCCGCAGCCCGCGAGGCGGAGCGGCGAGAGGCCCTGGCACTCGTCTCGGGCGGGCGGGCGGCCGGGCGGCGCAGGGCCCGGCGGCAGCAGGCCGGGGAGTCCGGCCAGAGCCGGACCGGGACTCGGCTCCGCGCTCCCGGCGGGCCGCGAAGGACGGGGACCCCGAATCGGGGCCCGGGAGCGGCCTCCTGCATGAGCTGGTGTTTGCGCCCCACGCTCCAAGCCTAGCCAGACCCCGGTCCCTCTCGCCACTCGGAGACCCCCGCACACGGCCCGTCGGCGCTCTCCACGCCCTACCCGTCCACGCTTCCCGGACCCCATCCTCGTTCCTCAGCCAGACAGGGCTCCGTTACCTGCAGAGCAGCTCGACAACCCTGCAGGTAGTCCTCCATGGTGAAGTCCAAGGTGCGCCACCGCCCCTCGCGGAGGAGCGGTTACCCAGCGTGTGTACCCCACCCAGGACTCAAAGGCCAGAGGACAGAGTCAGTAGGCGGGACTCGAACCCGCCAAACAGAGACTCGGCCTCCGACCCCGAGAGGAAGTGCGTAACCCGGCGATCCCGGAGGCCGACACCGCCCCGCCTCCCTCCCCCCCAACCAGCGCCCAGAGACTCAAGGGACGTCCCTCCGGAAGGGGAGGGGCGCGGCGCAAGGCGTCCTGGGAAACGTAGTCCAGAAACTCCGAGATGACCCCCAACAATTGAGGGAAGGAGAATTTTCTCAAGTGATTTGACACACAAATGTGTATGGGTCATAGTCACTCATCTTTTGGCATCTGAACTCACTCTCCCAGAGGTGGCTAAGTATAGCATCTTTCCATATATTACACCAAGCATCTGGCTGATGTTTTAAATTATAACATGGCAAACGGCTCTCCTTCTTCCTTTCTCAAATTTTCCCTTTCACCAAATTGACCCGTTGCCGCCGATTTTGTGGTTGTCCATGCTAGAAAAGCATTAGGATAATCTTTGACACCTCTTCTTTACTTAGTACCTACAGTCTTGCCAACTCCTGCTTTTTTCCTTTAAAACTCTACAGCCTCAGCCCGCGCGGTGGCGCGCGCCTGTAATCCCAGCGGTTCAGGAGGCTGAGGCAGGAGGATCCCGAGTTCAAAGGCAACCTCAGCAAAGCCCAGGCGCTAAGCAACTCAGTGAGACCCTGTCTCTAAATAAATGGGGATGTGGCTCAGTGGTCTAGTGCCCCTGAGTTTAATCCCCGATACCCGCCCCCGCCAAAAACAAACAAAAAAAAAAACTCTATACAGCTTCACAAGAACTTCATTGCTTTCGTGGACTGTTGTAACCTTGGCTCTCTGCTCCTAGCCTCCCTCCTTGTTCCAACTGCTGTTTGGCTTTCAGACTTGCCTGAAGTCTCAGCCTGTGGCGGCTGTGTAACTAGAGTTCAGAGGGTCCTTCAGAAAGTACAGCGAGTTTCCAACTTCCCTTAATAACTGCCACTTTCCCAGACCCAGGGTATGCAGAGTACTGCCAAGAAAAGGTTCCCCTCATGATCAAATGTTCCTTTAAAAAACAAACAAACAACAACAACAACAAAAACAAGTATTGAACCCAGGGGTGCTTTATCACTAATCCACATCTCCAGGCCTTTTAAAATGTTTTCAATCTTGAGACTTGAGACAGGGTCTCTATCTATTGGTTAGGGCCTATGTTGGCCAGGCTGGCCTCAAACTTGCCATTTTTCTACTTAAGTCTCCCTTGTTGCTGGGATTATAGCGTGATCCACCACACTTGCCTCTGTACCTTCATTTATTAATCTATGTCTTTATTTCCTACCTCCAGCCTCACCCAGCTTTTCCTCTTCCCTGAGCTGGAAGATGAGAGGAGGTGACCTCTAAGAAGCTGAGGCCTGTAGGAAACAAGAACCAGCGCACAGGCCCTTGTGTCTCCTCTTACTCTACTGGGTCTCCTGCTGTGCTCTCCACCCAGGACCTGCTGCCTCTGTGCACTACTAGGTGCACAGCCCAACCAGTGTCATTTCTAAACTAAGAAAGGAAGGAAGGAAGGGAGGAAGGAAGGAAGAAAAAAAGAAAGAAGTTTAAAAAAAGATATAGGGAAGACCTAGAAAGGAGCCCTCTAAAGGCTCCCAGAGAGACAGGAGCTGCCTTTTTTTTTCCTTTTTTACATTAAATGAGTTAACATGCAAATATCATGCTCTTTGGCTCTGCTTCTGTGGATCCAGAGCAAAGGACTGCCGCACGCCGGGAGAAAGCCCAGATCCAACAAGCTGCTGCTGTCCAGCTCTGCTCCTCCCTGCTCAGCTAGGGCACTTGCTCTTCCCTGTTCTCACCAGAGAGGCACAAGCGCTCCGTCCCTTCCAGTGGCAGGCGAAGGGAAGAGAAAGGGTCTGTTGTTTTTCTCTCCTTGTTTCTCTCTCCCTCTCTGCTGATTACCAAGCTGCTGACCGGATCAGAAAGCTCTAATGGAAATCCTCCAGTGCTGGGCAAACCCCTCCTCCTCCAGAGAGCTTGTCTTTGACTAATTTTTCTTTCTCCCAATGGGAAAAAGAGAGAGAGAGAAAGAGGAAAAAAGAAAACCCACAAACTTCCTTTGAAAACCAGTTTGTAGTTAGGGCCTGGAGTGCGCACGCGGAGACTCAGCCTCTCAAGAATCCTGAAGCCACTCTGAGCCACCACCGGGAGCACCTGGGCTGTGCCCCTGCTTGTCCTCACCCTACTGCGGTGCCCCAGTCCTGGGCGTGAGTCCGGAAGTAGCCACAACCCAGCCTGGACGGCCAGCCACGCTTGTAAAGCTGTGTCAACCTGTATAAGCTGTGGACAGCCGGCCTGGTGGTGCCCTCGCTGATCCCACCTCCCCCATCAGACTGCCAGAGCTGCTCCGTCCTGGAACTGCACCCACTTCTTTAAGGTAAAACTTTGTCTTAACCATCTTCTCCATCTCCTCTCAGCCCGCAGCTCTCCTTTCCCTCTTCAGCTGGGGGACTTGACACCTGTCTGTCCTCCCATCTGTGGTTAGTCTGGATTATTTAGAGGAGCTAAGGCAGGAGGAACTTGTAAATAGACGCTCCTGGGTCCTTTTATCTCCTGCTTCTAGCCAAACCCTCCCCCCTCCTTGGAAGCAAGTAGACAGCACACTGTGGCAAGGTTTGATGATGAAGGGAAAATAGAAATCATTGTTTGCATGAGGATTTGGGTCAGGAGGAGATTGGTGTGGGACAATAAGGTACTTGAGGGGAGAGGAAAGATCCTGATGTGTGTGTGTTGGGGGTGTCTTCTTGAAGCTACCTACCTATTTTGTTTCTTGCACTCTGACACTGACTAGGGAGGGGCCAGAGTTGTCTAACTCCCCCACCCACCACCATAGGTTAATTCAGCTGCAGGAAAAGTGTAGGGCTGAAAAGAGGACAAACAAAAAACAGGTGAAATCCTGATTTGCTTGGGTTCCTCCCCCTCATCCTTTCCTACTCAGAAATACTCCAAGCTCTTGCTACCAGGAGTGTACCTTGAGAGGATGGAAACCCTGCATTACATTTCCTGCCCTGCCTCTCAGGACTTAGCCCACTTAACTCTGCCCAATTTCCCTAGAGTCCCCATTCCCTGTGGTGTTGAGCTCCTGGTTTCCTCTGGTTCATTCCTCTGGCCAGCCAGCTTCCCAGCCCCCACGTCATTATTGATTATTTCTAGCACTGGGCAGAAAATGAGTCCTGTTTTCTTCAAGCTTTTTTAACTTTCCCTGACTCTGACATCTGCTTCAAGACTCACCTTAAGTGCCATGTAGGAGGGGAGGAATAAAGGAGAGAGGGAAAAAAATGTGTAAAGCCTTTACAGGCAATATTTGATATTCTGATTCGAAATTAATAACATGTAAATGAATTGCAACTGACATGAATTATATTTGAATCAGGAGGATGATTGAATGACTAGGCTTATTTTTATTTTATTTTTTAAAATTTTTATTTATTTATTTATTTTTGCATTACAATTCTTAATATATCATTATACCATAATTTATCATATCTCTGATTATATATAAGATATGTTGACAGCAAATTCACATCTTCATACTAGGCCTATTTTTATTTCAGTTAATTTAACGTTCCTCATCCTCATTGGCCAGGCCTTCCTCCTAGCCCCAAATTCCTGCACCTTTACAAGAAAAAAAGTATAACCCCAGGAGAGGAGGGAACTGGAGAAGAGGCAAAGGCAAGATCTTTAACCTGTTTAATTTCTACTTTTTTTTTTTTTCCCCTGACTAAAGAGTAGGGAGGGGAGTAAGGAGATTGAAGGGGGATGGTTTCTAGAAGCCAGGGTTTGTGGCTTTTTACCCTTTGTTACCCAGTGTTGATTAAATGTCTATCTGTGCCTGACTTGATGCTTAGTGCTGATAGAGAACAAGTTAAACAGGCCTAATCTTCACATCAAAAAGCACAGAGATGGAAACAGACATACAGAACATACACCAGTAGGTAACAGTGTAGGGAGTATTTTTTAAGTCAATCAATAATCAGCATTTCTCTTTTCCATATAAATAGTGGGCAAGAGAGTATCTCTGGGGTCAGGCAGATTGGGAGAAAAAAGAACTACTGGGAAATTGTTAACTCCAACTGTCCAGAGAAGCTACTGGAAGAATTTGCAGTGGGGCAGTCCTTTTTCTGCCCCCAATTTGAAGTTACTTATCTAAGGCACTCTCTAATTCAAGTCCCTATAACCTACATTTCCCCTCTGCAGCCTACAGGAAGCTCCTCCCAAGACATTTTTGCTGTGGTTTGGGCTTGTGTAAGGTTTGGTAGACTCCTTTGAGGAGAAAGACTTCCCTTCCTCACTAGCACATCACTTTTAGGAGCATGACACTGCATCTCCACTCCACCCCTGTCACTTTTCACCTTTGGGGTGACACAGGGAGACGGTACCCATGAGAATCCAAGCAGCCTGTGTGTGCTCAGGTTGTTTCATGGAGGGGTGGGATTTGGTGTGAGGGAGGAACTGCTGTTGTGCAGGCTACTGATATGATGCCCTTTCCAAGGTTGGCGGAGAGTTATCGTATTTAACCATTAGGATCCTTTGGTTTGTTTAGGTTAGTTTTGGTTTTCCTTTTTTTTCCAGTCCTGGGTACTGAACCAAAGCTTCACACTTGCTAGGCCATGAGCTGCACCCCTAGCCGACAGAAACAGATACCTCTGAATTAGCATAGTTTAACATTTCTTTGTCCATCTATTTTCCTCCTTCTCTGCTACATCTCCCTTTTTCTTTATCATTTTCTGTTTCAGGGAAGCTGGCTCCACTCAATGTGTTCAGTCCCTCCAGAACTATCACTCTCAAGCCTAGAAGCCCAAGGCACTGTTGGTTCCATCTGGTCACAAGTTAAAAGTGGAAAGATCTCAGTCTGAATCCTGTTTATGCAAGTTTAGAAAGGCATGTACTACTTGTAGCCAGGAGTGCCTGTGCAGATACACAGCCAGCCTTCCATACAGCATTCATTTTCTAAGACTTCTCTGGGTGGCTTTGCTTTCTGGCTCAACGATCTTCTTCTTACTGGACAGGTCTATGTTTTGCCTACCAAGACTGACATAGGCAAGCCCTTGAGGTTAGGAAACATCCTCAGCATCCCTCAGTTGACTCCCTTCCCATCATGGAGCACCCTCAGCCTGAACATCAGTCCTCGGGTAAGGCCAGGAATGCAGAAACAGACACCTCTGAAAACCAGGAGGTCCTCTCAGGACCAGATGAGTACCCTCAGGACCAAGACACCAGAGATGCTGATGAGGAAGCTGCAAAACAAGAGCCAGGAGACCAAGCTTTGTTACCAACCCAGAGTGGGGAGAACCTTGAGTCCCCTCCTCCTGAAACTAACTCAAGTCAACCTGGGCCATCCTGTAGCATATCACCTGAGGTAGAGACACTAGGAGCATGCTCCGGGCCCCAGGAGCTTCCCCAGTCTCCGAGGACCCAACAGACTGAGCCAGATTTCTACTGTGTAAAATGGATCCCCTGGAAGGGAGAACGGACACCCATCATCACCCAGAGCACTAATGGTCCTTGCCCTCTCCTTGCCATCATGAATATCCTCTTCCTTCAGTGGAAGGTAAGAGAAAGTCTGACATGAACTCAGAAATTATGGGGAACACTCTTCCCTGACCCACCTCCCTTTCATCCTGATTTTCTCAAAGCAATCTGAACTTTTCAGATTATTCTCTGTACTACTCCTGTCTCTCCTGTTCTCTAGCAAATAGGAAGACCTTGTAGTATTTCACATTTATTCTGTTGCTCCATTTCAAACCTTTTCCTCCCAACCCTAAATACCACAAGGCACCTCTCTCCACTGTTGTAGTTTCTTCCTTTGTGCTCTGAAAGGGAGACACACACATAGAATCACTCCTTCTACCCTAGGTGAAGCTATCTCCCCAGAAGGAAGTGATCACATCAGATGAGCTCATGACCCACCTTGGTGAGTAATTGGGCCTTAATGAGGAATTTCCTAAGGGGTTCCAGAGCTATCCCCTCAACCAGAAATTCAGACTACCAATGGATCCTCATTCTGGGTTCTAACGTAGCAGGGAAGCTAAGGGTCATTGGGCTTCTCTGCAAAGCTGGAGGATAAAGCCAAGGTCAAGATGTCAGGAATCCTGAGCCATGTGTGGTGGTACATTCCTATAATCCCAGGCTGAGGGTGGGAGCTGAGGCAGGAGGATCACAAGTGTGAGGCAAGCCTCAGCAACTTAGTGAGATCCTGTTTCAAAATAAAAAAAATAAAATAAAAACTTCTGGGGAGGTATTTCCATGGTTAAGCTCCCTTGGGTTCAATCCCTGTATTAAAAAAAAAAAAAAAAAAGTCAGGAGTCCTGAGTTATAACACCAATTCTGCTCTTAGCCTTTTTCTTTTCTTTTTTTCTTTTTTTCAGTTCTGGGGATCAACCCAGGGGTTGAGCATGCTAGGCAAGTGCTCTACCAGTGAGGTTCCCCCCGTTTCTGCCCTTAGGTTTTGAATGTGAACTTGAGTAGGTCCTTCCCAGTTACAAGCCTGTTTCTTCCTCTGAGAAATGAAAGGTCTGAATTAGACTCTAAGGACCTTTCCAGTTCTAAAAATTTGTGGTTCTGTGACATTATCCCCATTCTCCAGGAAAAGAGGAAGCTGAGCCTTAGGACAAGTGGTGGGGCAGGTTGATAAAGTATCTGTCTTATAGGAAACTGCCTCTTGTCCATCCAACCTCAGGGAAAATCAGAGGGACTTCAGCTTAATTTTCAGCAGGTAAGGCAAGAAGTCCGGAGACTTAGGGGTTTTGTGGTTTGGAAGGGGACACTGGAACTATCGAGAGAAGCTGTTTGCTGCATCTTAAGAGGGCTCCTTGAACTTCTGCAGGTATAAGAGAGGATGTTATATCTCTATCCTGGAAAAGATTTCGCTTATATAAGATAAAGAAGGATTGAATCAGGGGAGGAATAGAATGGCTTGAAAGAATGTTAGGGAAGAAAAGCAACAAGTTTTGTTTTTGTTTTTGTTATTTTCCTGGACGTGGGAGTGGGAAAGGCGGCTAGGCTGTTCATCTTTTTTTTCCAATCCCCAGAATGTGGACGATGCAATGACAGTGCTGCCAAAGCTGGCCACCGGTCTTGATGTCAATGTGCGATTCACAGGCGTCTCTGACTTTGAGTATACACCCGAATGCAGTGTCTTTGACCTACTAGGCATACCTCTGTACCATGGCTGGCTTGTTGATCCACAGGTGATGGTGGAAGCCCCCCTGAGTCCTTTACCTCGCTGGAGCTGACCTGAGTGAGGCAAAATGTTGTGGGTTGGGTGCCGGGTAGGAGTTAGATTGGCTTGGGAGGGGAGTAGAATTTGGAGACTGAATTTCTTGAATTTTAGCCTTTTTTTTTTTTTTTTTTCCTGGTAGAGGTAGCATTCTAGTACAAGCAAACCATATGCAAATATGCAAATAGGATCAGTTCTTTTTTTAACATATATGTATTTTTTTAAATTTATTTATTTTTTAGCTTTAGGTGGACACAATATCTTTATTTTATTTTTATATGGTGCTGAGGATCGAACCCAGTGCCTCACAAATGCCAGGCAAGCGCGCTACTACTTGAGCCATATCCCCAGCCCCTATATGTATTTTTTTTAAGTTGTCAATGGACCTTTATTTATTTATTTATTTATTTATCTATCTATTTATTTACTTATATGTGGTGCTAAGAATCAAACCCAGTGTGTCACACACACCAGGCAAGTGCTCTACCACTGAGCACAAACCCAGCCCAGAAACATTTTTTTAATTTTATTTATATATATATATATATATATATATATATATATATATTGTATTTAGACACAATACCTTTATTTTTATGTGGTGCTGAGGATTGAACCAGGGCCGCACACCTGAAGGCGAGTGCTCTACCACTGAGCCACATCCCCAGCCCTAGAATCAGTTCTTTAGACATCAAAAATTGAGGAACTGGGCTGCAGTTGTGGCGCAGTGCTCGAGCACTTGCCTACCATGTGTGAGGCACTGGGTTTGATTCTCAGCACCATATATAAATAAATAAAATAAAGGTCCATTGACTATTAAAAATATATATATATATTAAAAAGAAAAAATTGTTCAGGAACTGCTGCTCTAAGTGCAGTAGCACACACCTGTAATCCCAGTGACTTGGGAGCCTGAGGCAGGAGGATCTCAAGTTCAGACCCAGCCTCAGCAACTTAGCCAGGCCCTAAGGACTGAGTGAGAACCTGTTTCAGAAGAGGATGTGGTGGGAAAGGTACATTCATTCATTGCTGGTGGGACTGCAAATTGGTGCAAACCACTGTGGAAGGCAGTATGGAGATTCCTCAGAAAACTTGGAATGGAACCACCATTTGCCTAAGTTATCCCACTCCTTGGAATATATCCAAAGGACTTAAAATCAGCATACTGTTGCAACATGGCCACATCAATGTTTATAGCAGCTCAATTCATGATAGCTACGCTATGAAACCAAACTATGTGCCTTCCAACAGATGAATGGATAAAGAAAATGTGGTATATATACACAATAGAGTATTACTCAACCATAAAGAAAAATGAAATTATGGCATTTCATAAATGGATGGAACTAGAGACTATCATGCTAAGTGAAAGAAGCCAGTCCCAAAAACAAAGGCCTAATGTTCTCTCTGATATGCAATAAGGGGGAGGGGAGAGAAGAATAGAAGTACTTTGGATTAGACAAAGGGGAATGAAGGGAAGGGAGAGGGGATGGGAATAGGAAAGACAGTAGAATGAATCCAACATTCCTTTCCTATGTTCATGTGTGAATAGATGACCAGTGTACCTCCACATCATGTAAGACCACAAGAACGGGAAGTTATACTCCATGTATGTATAATATGTCAAAATACATACTACTGTCATGTATAACTAAAAATAACAAATAAAAAATTTTGAAAGAAATATTTTTTTAAGAAATGGCTCAGTGGTGGGCTGGGGTTGTAGCTCAGTGGTAGAGCACTTGCCTAGCATGTGTGGGGCACTGGGTTCAATCCTCAGCACCACATAAAAATAAATAAATAAAAATAAAGGTATTGTGTCCACCTACAACTAAAAAAACATTAAAAAAATGACTCAGTTGTTAAAAGACCCTGGGTTCAATCTTGATCCCCAAACAGAACACTTTGATCATAAGGTCATAGTCTTTGTGGGCTTCCTTTCTTTCCTTAAATAAACTCAACATTCTTTCTCACTCCCCACCCTACTCCCTGAATGTGCAGAGTCCAGAGGCTGTGAGCGCAGTTGGGAAACTGAGTTACAACCAGCTAGTAGAGAAGATCATCACCTGCAAACACTCCACTGACCCCAACCTCGTGACAGAAGGTGACATCCCTCCTCCCTCATGGATCTTATTCGAAGGGTAGAATAGCTGCTTAGGTTCATTGTTTGTTGTCTCCTGCCATTCTCCCACTAGAGTGTAAGCTCCCTAAGAGAAAGTTTGGGAAATTTGTCTGTTTAATGCAGGGATACATCTTCCCTCTCCGTGGCCTCCTGGGCTTAGTGTAGTACCTCACATGAGGTAGCTGCTCAATATCATTTTCCTTTTTTTTTTTTTTTTTTTAAGGCACTGGGGACTGAACCCAGGGCACTCTACCGCTGAGGTTCACCCCCAGCCTTACTTATTTATTTATTTGTATCACTGGGGATTGAACCCAGGAGTGCTCTACTACTGGTACTACGGGGCTATATCTTGAGCCCTTTTTATTTTTTATTTTGAGGGTCTCAACAATAAGTTGCTGAGGGCCTTATCAATCTGCTGAGGCTGGCTTCAAACTTAGAATACTCTTGCCTTGACCTCCTGAGTCACTGGGATTACCACAGGCATGTGCCACTACACCTAGCCCTTTTTTTGTTGTTGTTTTTAGTCAGCTGATTTTCTTTCTTTTTTTTTTTTTTTTTAATCTGGATTCGTAGCTTCTCTGTAGATATCACATCTGACAATGGTGGTACCTACTTGTCATAGCCACAATCAGTGGGTGATGAATTGTGGTTGCCTCTTTGGATAAGGTGAACCAAGTTCTCCCTCGCTTGACATTTAGCAGTTTTGCCTCTTTTCTGCCTAATCCCTATAAATATTTGAGACAACACACCTTGGGGGTTTTTTGTTTTTGTTTTACATCAGGGATTGAATCCAGGGTTGCTTAACCACTGAGCCACATCTTCAGCCTTTGTTATATTTTACTTTGAGACAGGGTCTCGCTGAATTGCTGAGGCTATCCTCAAACTTGTGATCCTCCTGCTTTAGCCTCCTGAGTAGCCGGGATTATAGGCATTACCACCACCCCTGACAAGGGATTTTAGAAAGTCAGATTCAGAAGGACTTTTGACAGGTACTCTTTGGATGATCCTTCCTATCTTAGACTTCATTTTGTTTCATTTATTTTTTGATGGTGCAGGGGGTTGAACCCACAACCTCCTATACACTAGGCAAGTGCTTTACCACAGAGCTGAGCTATATGCCCGGTCCTTTTTTTTTTTTCCTTTTAATCATGGACTTTGGATGTAAGCCAAATTTCTCCCATCTTATGCCTTCTGGTAGGCTTGATCGCAGAGCAGTTCCTGGAGACCACTGCAGCACAGCTGACCTACCATGGCCTGTGTGAGCTTACAGCGGCTGCCAAGGAGGGTGAACTTAGTGTCTTTTTCCGCAACAACCACTTTAGCACTATGACTAAGCACAAGGTGATAAGGGTTTGGAGGTGTTGGGGGGTTGGGGTGCTGTGGTTTCCCCATGCCTTTTTCTTCTGGGTCTGTTTCTTCTGGGTCAGTCAGGATAAGGTGAGTTAAGCTGCAGTAACAAATATCACTGAAATCCTTGTGGTTTACCACAAACAAATGTTTTTTTTCTCACTCATACTATGTGTATGTCTAATGAAGA